ACATTTTTATGCCATATCTTTAATTCCCCCCCAGCCACAGTTAACATTTCCAGTTAGTCCTAGGTTGAGATCATCCTTGATTTCTATTTTTAGTTATCTTGAAGCCTCTCTTAGTGTATGATGCCTAGCTAAGGTAACTTCTGGCTGGCTCTTACACCCTTCGCCCACACTCAGGTCATTCCTCTTGGAGTCTCTGGATGAGGAAGGCATTGAATTAGCAAATCCTAAATTCTGACTTGAGCTGAAGCAGATTCTCTTCCCCCTTCTCTGTATCCTTGGCTCTGGTGCTATCTTTTATCCTTGGGGTGGGTGTGGGCCAGTAGGGGACTTATATACTTAGAGGAAAGGATGGCCCTTCCCTTTAGACCTCTGGGCGTCAGATGGTCCTGTTTCAGTCTCTACTTTTCTTTATTCTTCCTAAGGGCTTCAGACTTCAGCAGGCCTGCTCTCATCCTCCTTGTCCTATAGTACATTATCCAGCCAGTTGCAAACCCTACTATTTCAGAGGAAAGATCTGCCATCCAGCCTCTCTGTGTCATCTAGGACCATCTTAGGTGCTCCTTCATTAGAGCGTGTGGTGGTTGGGTATTAGGGGATTGAAGGAAGAAGAATAAACTGATGAAAAAGGGATGACAGAGATAGGAAATACAGGAATGGGCAGGGAAACAGGAGTAACAGACTGGGAATATGGGGATGGTAGCAGAGGAATGGGAACTGGGCTTTTCCTTCATCTGAACATCTTTGTGATTTTCATCAGGAACCCTATGACCCCTAAACCAATTGCCCTCTTCTGGTCTGTAGGCCGTGTCCAGTTTCCAGCAGGTTGAAGGAATTGAGAGTGGCCGGGGGAAATGTCCTTTTGGACCCGCTCAGCGGTCAGCAGCTGTAATGGCTGGTGAGTGGGAGAGATTAGAACCTGTGACTTCTTGCTATAATTGCTGCCTTCCCCACCCTGCTGTTGGAATTTCTGTGTCCTTTCTTTCATTTCCTCGGAATGTCTATTATTCCCATGTCTCTTTCTAGCCTTTCCTATTCTTCCCCAGTGTGCCTGTGTCCTGCTTTTCTCCAGAGTACTATTTCCCTGGGTTCTCCCTAAAGAATGTGTTCTCTGCACCTCTAATGTAAGTGTTTCTCTGCTAACCTCATTCCTGCCCCCCTCATTTTAATTTTCCTGTTTATATGAGGACTCTGCTACAATGCATATTGTAATACACTTGGAAAAAAGTATAAACAACATATGAACAGAACTGTTCCAAAGAACTTTGTGTGATGATATGAATACTCTATCTTTGCTGTCCAAAGTAGCCACTAGCTACATGTGGCTATTGAGCTTCTAGTGCGACTGAAGAAAAGGGTTTTGGGTTGTATTTAATTTCAGTTTAAATGTAAGTAGTCACATGTGTATAGTGGCTAATATATTAGCAAAGGTCTAGAGTATCTACTCAGAAACCACTGTTAATATTTTAAGATACTTCCTTTTAGGCTGTTATAATGTGTATGCAAGTGCATATTTTACTGGACAGTCCTTTGTAGCTCCGAGGAGTTAGTAATGACTATTCAATAAGTTCCTGCTGTTACTTCTTTTGAATAAGCCATATAAGTTGCTTCAGTGTTGAGTGGTTCTTTCACAGTTTATGTATAAATCTTTTCTGGAGAGTGACTGCTTAATTCTTTAGTAGCCATAAAGTGAATTGTTTGTGCCCCACACAGTGTGTATTTTAGATTAGAGGACTCCACATGCACCCTTCAAATTCAGTGAGGGTCTAGCCATTTTCTCATGATAGAGTAAAACAAGCGAGTTAGTAGAAATTTTATGTTTTTGCATATTATAAAACTTTTAAATGTCATGCTACATGGGTATAATTTTGAATCTTGTTATGTAACTTTATATCATAGGCATTTCTGTATAATTTAAAAATCATGCTATCACTCATCCTGTAAGCATACAATTACTTTTTTTCTCACATAAATTTCACCAAAAAATATTTTTGTCACTTTAAAAGATCTTTGAGTCCTGACTGATGTGGCTCAGTTGGTTGGGTGTCATCCTGTGCACCAGGAGGTTATGGATTGGATTCCTGGTCAAGGGCACATGCCTCGGTTGCAAGCTCAATACCTGGTGGGGTTGTGCTGGAGGCAGTCAGTCAACATACTCTTACATCGATGTTCCTCTCTCTCTCTCTCTCTCTCAAAACCAATAAAGTAGGCTAAAAAAAGATAGTTGAGACTAAAAATAGTACCTTGTTTTAATTTGTATTTCTTTTAATATTGGTGAAGTTGAACATTTTTCATGTTTTAGTACTATTTTTATTTCTTCTCTCATAAGTCCTCTGCTTACTTTCTTGGGTCAGTTACCTGTAGGATATTAAGGTTTCACTCTACATGTTTTCCTTTCTAATTACGTTTTTAAAAACATATTTTATTGTTTTTTTTACAGGGAGGAAGGGAGAGGGATAGAAAGTTAGAAACATCAATGAGAGAGAAACATCGATCAGCTGCCTCCTGCATACCACCCCACTGGGGATGTGCCTGCAACCAAGGTACATGCCCTTGACTGGAATCGAACCCGGGACCCTTGAGTCCACAGGCCGACGCTCTATCCACTGATCCAAACCAGTCAGGACTCTAATTACATTTTTTAAGCGAAGTCCTTCTTCAGTTAGAGAGCTGATAAAAACTTTTTTCTTAATTTTTCCCCCAAACACAACATTTTGATTTTTTAAAAACTTATATTGATGAATGACATGAGATGGAGACCTAAATTAATGTTTTCCAACTAGCTAATCAGTTGACTCATTCATCATACTGTTTTTTCTTTCGTCACTGACTTTAGCTTTGAACTTTGTTATAAAATTAATTTTTATCTATACTTTTGCATAATATTTTATGAAAAAAATTGGAATAGAAGATCTAACAATAAAATTTTTCTTATATAGGACTTCATAGGAAAGGTCATAAAAGCTATACAAATTAAATAAATTTTAGTCAGATAATTAAGGAGTTTTTCTGAAAAGAAATAACATAAATGTTTTGAAAGTAAACATAAGTGTATATATATAATAAATACAATATTGGGTTGTCATTTTTATCATTCACCTATAGTTGATATTGATGAGACCTTGTTTATACTCAAGCATATTTGAATGAAATAGTTTAATCAATGGTTTATTTTTCTTGACTTTTTATCAAGCATGTGTGGCAAAATTCTGACCCAGTCATTGGGAACATTAAGAAAGATAGTGGTTGTGAATGTCTCTCTTTTTTAGAAAATTTATTTTGTTGTTGAGAGTATTATAGATATTTCCCATTTGTGAATCTCTTTTTAAAAAGTAAGATTTTAAATTGATTTTTAGAGAGAGAGAAACATCAATGTGAGAGCAAAACAATCAGCTGCTGGGGATTAAGCCTGCAACCCCAGGCATGTGCCCTGACTGGGAATCAAACCGAGACCATTTGGTACATGGGATGGTGCTCAATCAATTGAGCTACACCAGCCAGGGCTGTGAATATGTCTTGATTCTACATAATTGTTTATCAGCAACATGACGTCTCAATTGCAACAATCTAAGATAATTATTTAACATACTTTCTTTTTTTCAAGCAGTAAACTTTAAATACATTCAATCTTCTGCTTGTAATTTCTCAGTGTTCCAGTCAGCAAGTGGATTTGCATTAGCATGTGGTTCATGGGCACAGATTTCTTAAAGGAGATCATTGCATGATAAAGGAAAATTTCAAAAAGGAGTAACATTTTCAAAAAGGTTTCAAGTTTTTTTCCAAATAATGAAGTTGTCTTTTTTTCCAGATAATGATGTTGGCTTTCATCTGATAAATGATGGAAGTGATCAGAAATCTCTTTCTAACAGTTTAGAATGACTAGCTTTAGACAGTTAACATACAACTGTTGCCCTGCTATCCTCTGATTTACAAACAGTGAAATAGAAATAGTGCCAACAGTAGGTATGAGCTAGAACCAAAATTCCTAGTTATGAGATATAAAAATGTCCTTAAAGATAATAGAGGTATTTTGAAATAAAAAGTTTTAGTAATGAAAATATTATTAGACTATAATATTTATTAATATGATATAATAAAATAACATTTTAAATTATAGAACTTACAATGTGCATTGTAGAAGTTGAGAAAATGTAGAAATGTTAAAGAAGAAAGTGAAAGGTTTATTTGCAATTCAATCATTACCAGGTAACTACTATTATTTTAGACTACTTTCTTCTTTGTCTGTTGGGGTGTATATTTGTAATAAATTGGAATTATGCATATTTCACTTAGTTATAAACTAAACATTTTCTTGCCATAGAAAATAATTATTCAAAACATGATTTTTAGAGATTACAAAGCATTTATTCCATTATATATATATACTCTGTATAGCACAATTTAATTATTCCTATAAAGTTATACATTCAGATTTAAAAACTATTGTTTTTATGACTAATACTGTAGAAGAAATATTTTTACATAAACTCTTCACATAAATGTCAATAATTGCATATGAGTAAATCCAAAAAGTAGACTTGCACGGCCAAATGGTGTAAAGATTTTTATGGTGCTCGATAGCTTTTTCTAAATTCCTTTCCATTTAGTCCAACCAACCGTGATGAGAGGGCCTGTCTCACTGCGTCCTTGTCAGTCCCAAGTGATATACGTAATAAAGCATACAAACAGTGACTTCCTCCAAAGACTAATTTGATGTATTTTTTCCTTGCAAGTCTATTAGTGAGATTGAACAACTTTTCACTTGTTTATTGGTACTTATATTTCTTTTGGGAAAAGCCTGCAAAATCGTGTCTTCAAATATGACATTTATTTCTATTGCAGTTAGATAAAAGTTAACAAAATTATCTCAGTGTCTCTATTTGCACTGTTCAGATTTGGGAATAGTGTAAAATATTTTGACAGTAACATTCACATTAGCCTAAAACATTAGCAGTTCCTTCCCAATCTCCTTTGTAGGGTCTTTGTCTTTTGCTCATCGATGTTGGGGCTCATTAGATTTCCATGCAAGATCCTCTTCTGTACTCATTCTGTGTGGTTATGATCTCCATCAGCCCTGTGGATTCTGTTTTCACTGCCTCCTGATGCCTCCCAGACCTTATCTGGAGCTACAGACCACACATCCAACTGCCTTCCAGACATCTCCATTTGAATGTCCCATATGAGTCTCAAAGTCAGCATGTCCCAAAGCTCATCATCTTCACTCACCTCCCCAAAACCTGCTCCTTCAACAGTGTCCACTATGCTGAGTGCTTACCCACCCAGGTACCTAAGCTAGATATAGCAGTCATCTCTAGTTTTCCTATTCACATCCTATTAAAAAAAAGGGGGTTTTATCAAGAAGAGCAGAGGGAGGGAGCTTTGCTCTTTCTCTTTAGGAACCTGTCCTGAGTTTATATCATTTCCTTTTGGTCTCATTGCATCTTGTGTTACTGCATCTTCCAAGGAATACTGCAAACGTTCCATATAAGTGCCCCAATCCTTAGATAAGGAAATGTAGACTATTAGTGTAGCAGCTGTTTAACCTGCAAAGCTCTGATCATGAGAGGAAAGGAAGTGGAGGAAGGAAAGCCAGGGTATGTTTAAAATAGTTTTTTAAAAAAATATATTTTTATTGATTTCAGAGAGAAAGGGAGAGGGAGAGAGGGATAGAAACATCAATGATGAGAAAGAATCATTGACTGGCTGCTTCCGGCACCTCCCGCACCCCGCCCCCGACTGGGGATCGAGCCCGCAACCAGGACATGTGCCCTTGACTGGAATCAAACCTGGGACTCTTCAGTCAGCAGGCTAATGTTCTATCCATTGAGCTAAGGCAGCTAGGGCTGTTTAAAATTGTTTTAGAGCTAATGAATGATAATTCCTATTGTAAACCTTTAA